TCAAGTTCTTGCTTTTCACTCACACACTAGTAGGTAGTGCACCGCAACTTCCATGGATGATCTTTGGTTCAATCTTGGTGATCTAGCCTACTCAAACTCTTGCTTTTCACTCATACACTAGTAGTGCACCGCTACTTCCATGGATGATCTTTGGTTCAATCTTTGTGGTCTAGCCTACTTTAACTCTTTCTTTTCACTCATAATCACTAACCCAAAAAGCAAAGGAGGCCTAGGCCTCATAGACCCAAACCGCCAAATCCAAGCCCTTCAAGTCAAGTGGATCCATTCACGACAATCTTCAATAGATCGCACGAGCTCTCAGCTATATCAGAGGAACTGCACCCTTCAAATCTCTTACCAATATGCCATGCCACATTGGCCACTCCCGAAAAGGAAACAGAGACACCCCGACCTGACAGCGCAAGTGAACTCCAACGACGCAATGCAGACAAAATCCTTCTGGGAACAAATCTTACACAACTGGAGAATCATCTTCCCATACAATAGAACAGGTCCCAAAAGGGAAAACGAAGTCAGCAGACAACCCCTTTTCGGCAACCCACTGATAAAAAGTGAGGGAAGTGAAAACTTCTCACTCTCCAAATCAGAAATCAAATGGGGTCACCCGCTGGAAAAAGGAATTTGGCGCATTGAACATATATGGGACGAGCCACGCAAAAAATGGAAATCAGAAAGCGACCTACGGGCCAAATTAAAAGGAGTACACCATCTACAAACAAACATTAATTAAATTGTTGATTGCATCCCCCTGCATTGGAGAAACCTTCTAAGATCGGAACAAAAATGGTAGGATGGCGATTGAGCCACCACAAATGACTCCCCTATGGTACAAGAAGTCCGTGCCTTCAAGAACTATGAAACTCGTGACAACAACTGGATCTGCTGTGATATCTTCTCCTTGGATGAACCAGGAAACCCAGCAAGCCACATCAATTTAAAAAGTAGAGCAAAAGGATCTTTTAGGACCAAAAACCTGAAAAAAATCAGAATCATAGGAGAAACAAACAGAGTCTACAAACAACAAAAGGAGAAACAAACAAAGTCTACGAACCCCAACTAAGCATACAAAACCTAGAGATCGACCCCGTGGAATGGACATGGAGAACCTCAACCAGCCTCACCCCCACCCCAAACCTCACCAAACTAACTGATTTTACACCAAAATTAGGCTACCGTCTCGTCACAAAACCTATATCCATATCCAACACACTATCCAACACCCGCTTCAAACCACCCTGGACCTCAATCTTGACCAGAAGACCGGTCAAGATAGCCAGTCTAAGATGGCTATTAGTCTTCAGAGCAGTACCAGTTAACCAATGACTGGCACGCAGACGCAACCAAGAGAACAAATCAGAACAGGACTCCTGGTGCAAAGTCTGCAACACCCAACCCATAGAATCCCTAAATCACTGCTTCATAGATTGCCCAAAAGCCAGATCTATCTGGCAAGCAATCAAGGTTTCATGGAACAAAATCACAAGCCTACCTCTCTTAATTAATCCCGCTACATTATTCCATGAACTCAAACAATCCCCTCCACTCAAGAGTTTCAAAGCCTCATTATGAAAAGCACTCTCTGTACCATATGGAGAAACAGATGTGACAGCACTTTTGATGACCGCCTCACTTCCCCAAAGAACCCAATCATCGCCATAAAATAGCTAATAGACACGGAAATTCACGCCCTTTGGAAAAAACAACTCAACCAACTCCCTACCGACCCAGATAAAAAAGAGGGAAAAATCAAAACGTTCATAACTTTCAAACTAGGAAAAGGGCAGCTAGGCACAATAAATAACGAAAGACTCACCCTCAAGAACTGGATTTGCATACTAACAATTCCTGACCAGCCGCCATTAATGATACCGAACCAACCTTATAACACCCATCATCGACATCGCAACAATCTCCCCGCCCCTGCCCTTACACACTCTTCCTACAACCACCCCTCCTCCATACCCTAAAAACTTTCGAGTAATCACAAAACAACACGTACACCCCCCATCCCCTATCCTCTTCCACGTCTAGCATTCATCCCGCAATTAGCACTATCTAAAATTTACTATCCCCGACAACCCCCTCCTACCCAACCAATCCCAAACAGAGTCTACCCCAGGCTTCAAGTAGAACACCTATCAACATTTTATACATTCAAGGAACAACCCCCGAGAGAAGAATAGCGTCAAAGATTCAAAAGCTAGGGTTTAGGGTCTTAGCCTAAGTCGACAGCCTCAATCAAAACTACACAGGGAGTCCGGAAGTAGAGCAAAGGGACATGCCTCATCTATGATCCTAGAAAATCATATCCCACAGGTTAAATCAACAGAGAAATACAGACTGAAAAGAGACATGGCTTTTTCCAGCAAATACAAGCAGCAAACAGTTATAGTCACCGAGGTCAATAACAGTCTAGAACAGGCTAACTTAGGCAGGGGAGAAGATCGGTACATCCTGCTTCAAGGAAGTAATCAATTCCGTCTTCAGGGCCTCCACGCCATAAGGGGGAGGAGCGTGAGTGGGTAACCATCGTATTATTCTCGACTTGCCGGGGGAATAGGAACCAGAGTCACCAGACTGATGATCCCCAGAATGGAAAAGGAGCCAGAACCTTAAGGTTCTGTTTCAAAAAAAATAAAATAATAATAATAATAAAAATTGTGGGTTTGTCACTTTCCCCCCCTACCGTGGTAGGGCCTAGTCTCATTTTGTTGCCCAAAAAATTATTTGGCACTTCTCGGAGGCCTTTGTTTTCCAAGTACCACGCCCCCAAACACAGCTTCATGAGTGCTGTTGAAGTCGTTAGGCCACGTTCACACTGGACACACATCTTTGCTTCCCTGAATGTGTCTGACTGCAGCTAAGCCCAGACTGAGCTGAAACATAAATCCTAGGGTGAGCATATTGAAGTTGTTGAACCACCAGTACTTCACCGAGCCAAAAACAAATGTGCGGCTTGTGTACGGCTGCAACTTTCTGGGGTTGGGGTACCGGACCAAAATGGCTGGCGGCACCAGCCAAAATGAGGCCCGTGCCGGTTCGGTTTTTTTTGGCACCCAGGGCGTTTTCAGGCTCGGCTTCAATAGCTGGGCGAGGTACTGCTGGTTTAACCCAGGTCCATCTGTGGCCACCTTTTTCTTTTCCCCCTTTCCGTGACGAGATTGGGGGGCAACTCTGTCCCCTTCCTTGAGTGGCAAATGGATATGTCCGATGTTGTGACTTTAGTGCACCCACAGTTTTCTTCCTGAAAGTTGTGTGACAAGGTTGGTCGACCCTGACTCTGTTCGCTTTCCTGTGTGGCAATGGCAAATGTACATGTTGCATTTTCCCTGTTTTTAATCCCCTCCCTTCCCAAACAACTTGAAACAAGTACAGCTTGGTCTGCAGCGAATTCTGTTAACGGAGCAGCAAATCGCGATTATGCAAAAGCAGCTGGAGGAACTGAGACCAAAGCTGGTTAAAACATCGGAGGAGGCAGATCAAACCTTGGAAGTGATAGCGCATGATACCAAAGAAGCGGATCAGGTGAGGGCAGTTGTGGCTGAGGAGGAAGCCATAGCCAATGCCAAGGCACTGGATGCACGCAAAATGAAGGAAGAATGCGTGGCTGAAGTTGGGAAAGCAATGCCCATGCTCAAAAGTGCTCTCAAGGCTCTTGAGACCCTCAATAAAAGCGATATCGAGGAGGTACTACTTCAAAAACCTATGTCAAGAAAGCCAATCCGTGCCCTCCTTTCAGTCGACTTGTTGCTGTTGTTGTCAAAATTTTGAAACCCATTGGTACCCCGCCCCCTTACCTTCGACAATGCACCAACCAACAACAGGTTGCCACAGAAAGGCTCAGTGTAATCGACCAAAAAGTGGCTCACAGCTCCCTGTAGGCCGTTGCTCGCTGCCATGGCTTGCCACTCTTGGAGCCTGGCAAAAATTGCACATCGGAAACAAGAAAAAAGCCTCCAAGAGTCCGAAGTACTGGTGGTTCAAGTTCTTACTCCTCCTCAATTTGGAAGTTCTTCATCTATTAACTGGAGCTTGCTATTGGAGGATGCTTGTATCACCTCCAATAGCAGGCTGCCGCAGATGATTTCAAAAAAAAGGGATTTTTCTTCCAAACCCTAAATGCCCTTCCAGTGATAGCCAAGTATTCCTCAAAGCGCCACAAATCCCTCAAACCGCTAGATTTCATATAGCTCACAGCCTTCTACTTCACACTCAACTTGTCCTCGTCAACAATGAAGGAGTAAAGTCAAGAAACCAATGCAGGTCAGCAGAGCGTTCATTCAGCTGCAATTGAAGGAACGAAGCTTTCCCCCCCTCTTACTCTTAGAAAGGAAAACGCGGGTCTCGCATGATGCTGTCCCACAAAACCCTTTTCCCTGTTCAGCCCAGGGTGGCTGTGTGGGGCATGGTTCATATCGGGCCCGTGGCACCATCCCCCGCCCCCCCGCCCCCCCGCCCCCCCGCCCCCCCGCCCGCCTGTTTGTCATCGCGCGCCCGGCGCATGTTCGAATACAAGTACATAGCAGTGCAGGGACCCGTACAGTCGTCGCTTTTTTTTTCCCCAGTAGATTCGTTAGTTTGCTTTGAGTAGATCTGTTGTTTTTTTGTCGTTTTCTACAGCCCGTGGGTCTCATGGCATGCACAAAACACAACAGATATGGCGGTGTATCTTTCCAACTTCTAGCAGACGATTCATTCTCACCTACCCCGTTTGGCCCGTTTGGGCTTTGCTCCACTGCTCACTACTTGCACAAAAGACAAAAGAGTCGATTCGTTGTTGTGGTATTTTTTTTTGGGGGGGGGGAGATTCGTTGGTTTGTGATGACCCGTCCAAACATGGACTGAAACACACAGCTGGTTTCTGAGTTTTGCCCATAGACTGAATGCCCTGCTGAATTTCCCGCTTGCTACTAAGTCTGTGTGTGCACGCTTGCTGGACTGCATGTCTGTCTGAGTGCTGGTTGGCTTGAGTGTGTGTGTGGCCGTGCCTGTCTGAGTGCTGGTTGGCTTGAATGTGTGTGGCCGTGCCTGTCTGAGTGCTGGTTGGCTTGAGTGTGTGTGTGGCCCGCAAGGGCACTTGCTCGTTCATTGGGCCCTCAGGGCCGGTACTTACCTGTGGCCGTGACATTGAGGGATTGCAGCAGGAAAAACACTCAAGTAGCGGGTAGGCCGGTACCGCACCCTGAAGGGGTAGATGTGCGGGTACTGGAGGCCGAGCAGAAGAAGACAAAAGTGGCATTTTTAGAGGCCCAGTAGTTGTAGGTTAGCTCTAGGCGGATATCAGTCCAACCAGTCTGGGTCTAGGGCCTGTACGGGCAATATCAGAGTCTGCAATGATGTTTCCCTCCGAAAGGGAGTAGGTACCGGTTGCTTGGAAGGCCTAGCGGCCTGGAAGTCACCGCCCGAAGAGGCAAGCAGGCCGCTATATCTCCCAGTCGGGCGAAGAGCCCAGCCTCTTTTTCGGTGTGCAAGTTTGGTGACACACTGGTGGAGCGCTGGCTGGAGCAGCGCTATRCTGGAGCAGCACTGCTGGGGAGGAAGGAGAAGGACACGAGGGAGGAAGAAGGAAGGAAGGGGGAGGAGCGCCAGGGGTACTTACCTGGCTATGGTGGCAGCCATCTTCATCACCTCGGTGGGCGCTGCAGCAGGGAGCCCCCTACTGGGGAGAGCTACGCCAAGAAGCTTGGAGGCAGGGTCAGGCATGGCAGCCTGAGCTAGAGCAGCCATAGCTGCTTTGGGTTGTCCTTTGGGCATCTGAGCAAGGCCTAGTAGTCCGCCATAGCCTCGGCCTATGAGAGTGAAGAGTGGGAGAGGCGGCCATGGCTATGGTGGACCTCAAGTGATACCTGCAGTAGAAGAGGAACTCGGACTTTGATTCTGGATCAGCCATTCAACATTGTATTATTATTTCTTGTATAAATAAGAGAGGGGGAGATAAGGAGGAGGAGATTGTTGGGCGAAGAAGAAGAGCCTTGTCATTTGTCTTGCTGGTGTACATCATCTTCTTCTTCTTTCTTACTTCTTCTTCTTGTTCTAATCCTCCCTCTCCTCTCAAGTTCATTCGTGTCTTTCTGCAATTGGACGACATTGCACTTTCTGATGGATGTGTATCTCGAAATTGGCCAGGATCATAACATTGGTATCAGAGCGGATTCTACTTGCTGGTGAGAGTTGACTTTGCTGCCCTAACCCTAACCTAAGTGGGTTGAGGGCACCACTTAAGGTTAGGGTTGGTTTGTGAAGGGAAGAGGGGCAGCGTGGCCGAGGGAAGCTGCCCCCACCTGGTTAGGTCACGGAGGGTCGACGTTGAACCTAACCAGGTTGCTTGAGAGTGAGATTAGGGTGRCGAGACATTTCGAGGAGGCTTCATGCGGCAATTTGAGAGAGGCGGCAGTGAGAGGCACTCGCACCTGGAATCTGATTCAAGGGAGACACTTGGCAACTTAAGGGCTGCCCTCAAGTAGGCGAGCTTGAGGGTCAGCGGCCACTCAGCATCTACGGACTGCAAGTTCTTACTTTGTTCTTCAGCATCGACGGGGGATCTGGCGTTGCACTTTGGTGTTGGAGTCAGACCCTCCTAGGAGATAGGACACTAGTGTAGGGGTAGCGTTAGAGCGGTCAGGAGGATCACATGAGAGGGGGGTGAGTTCTTTTCATCTCGAAGCTCAAGGCCACTTACGTAAGTGTCGTGCACCTACCGGATGCCCATGTGTGTGTGCATGGTATGGTTTGTCCTGTTGGGGTTACTCTGGGTTTCTTTTCCTACTCCGCTGTGGTCTTGATTGTGTGATTGAATGCATGTGATCTACCTACGCACCTGATGGATGGAAAATGAAGTATCTTGATCTAAATGCCGAGTTTTTCTACAGTGCTTTGTCTTTCATTTCTGAACGGTTGTAGTCTGTAGGTTCTGGCGGAAGTTGAAATTTCGTTTTTTCAGTACAATAGAAACTGAACTAAGTCCATGAGGGACTCCTCTTGGTTGGGACCTGGCCGCGACCTACGTGGGACCTCTGGAACCCAGTGGGACCGGGCCCAAACAAGAAGAGCCCTTTGGGCCCAAATCGGTTAGGCATTACCGCATTGTCTTCTGACTCTGTTACGGAGTTCTTTCTTCTTGGTTAGGACACCCACTACCGAGGGGATCTCGACTGAGACGTTTCGCATGTCTTTTGGTTGCACTGTCTGTGGCTTGACTCGCACCCTGTACACCACTCAATTCTCCATTGTTGCATTTAGTCACTCGTTGTCTGATTTGATGTACGGTCACGGAGCTGGTCAGACTGGACTCGAGAGGACCTCGTATGCAGTCTGATCAGACTGGGTCGCTGGATCATACCTCTCATATGAATTTGTTTGTTGTTCTTTGGTTTGCTACTCTCTAAGTCCAAATGAAATGTCGCTCCGGCTAGGAGTTCTACCTTCTCTTCTCTGAGCTATTCAGTCTGTTTCTCTGAGTTCATTTTCGATGCCCGTGGAGACTCGCAACCAGAAAGAAGAGAGAGAGAGGAGAGAGAGAGAAAAGGGAGAGAGGGAAAGTGACCGTCTGGAGTGGGTAAGGACTGGGAAAAGGAGTGTTCGTCCAAGTAAAAAGGGGAGTGTACCTCTTGAGAGTCTAATTGAGTCTTTTGCTGATTGGCGTCTCTCTGACCCACCTGCCAACACTAACGGTTCGAAAATGGCCCAGCTATCCTCAAGACAATTGCGGGCCCTACTAAATGCAGCCAGTGATACGGAGAAACCGTATCTGCAAGCACTCCTAAATAGTGCTATAGAAAGGGAACAGGAAGCGGAGAAGGAGAGGAAGGAACAACTGCTGAAAAGTTAGGAGGCCATCTTGGATAATTGTTCCCTCACTGACCAAAGAGCAGTGTGGGGAACAACTGCAGTCCATACTCTCCGCTATCGTCTAAGTCCGGAGGCTTGAGGATCATACCACTCAGATCGTCGATGTCTTCGCAAAATTGAAGACACTTCAGGAGGATCTGACTGATATGACCAGCAAGTACCGCGACTTGATGGTCAAGGTTGCTGCGCTGCGACAGGCCCAAGTAACCCCCTGGTTCCGGAGCTGCGATTGAGACTAATCTTGCCCCTCTTACCGTATCTACTTCGGCCGCTTCCTTGAGTGTGATGGCAACCCCATCGGGACCTGCAACAGGTGCAGATTCCGCTGTTGCCGTAACAAGCAATGAGGCAGGAAATTTTGCAACTGCTGCAGCCCTAAAATCTGAACCAGCAGGTGCTGGTCCCAGCCACGCCGGTCCCTATGTGGATCAAAAGGCGGTGCAAATACCGTCTAAGTACGACGACAAAGAAGACATTGAATCCTGGATCAGCTCCATGAGGGCATACAGGAGGTGCTGGGGACTCAGCCAGAGACCCATCCAGTGATCATGGGAATGAATGTCGAGCCGGTTGTACGGGCCTTTCTAGAAGTCAAAGCTATGCGGGCTGGGGTTCCAAAGCTCGAACTGACAAGGTGGCTTAAGGCCACCCCGGTTGCCTCCCTCGAGGAGCTCCTCATTGCCTAATATAAGGATCCACACGCTGCAGCAAGGGCAAGAAGCCAGCTTGATAAAATCAAACGCAGCAAGTGGGCGGGCTCCATGAAAAGCCTGCAAACCTATCTCAGCAAGATGTTTGCTACACCTGGTCTTGAACTGACTAACCAATCTTGCTTGGAT